CCTTTTCCCCTGACGCGGTCTGCTAGCCTTCAGCTATCCATTTACCTCCTTAAGCCCAACAGCTCCAATACAATTCCAGGGACTTGAAGAATGTAAGTTTATCCCAGGATGTGAAGATTCACTGAAGCAGGGGTGTCACTCACCTCCTGCCTTGGACTGGATCTGGACTGTGGGGCTCCTGCTCCCAGTACATGCCGCCGTGTCCCCCATGCTAAAGCTGGAGCTGCTGTTGCCAACCTGTGCTTCATGCCAAGGTGGCAGCTCTGTCTCTGGAGCAGAGCCCATGGCAGCAACAGCTCTGGCTCTGAGCCTGGCACAGGGCACGTGGCAGTGCCAGCTGGAGGGTGACCAGGAGTCTCATCCCTCACTCACCCTCCTGCTACCACCGGGGACCAAGGGCCTTAGATTTTGTGGGAGTCCATGCCCCTCACCAGACCCCACAACTTGGTGTGGTCCATCGGTAGCTTGACAGGCTGGATAACAGCAGCTGTGCAAGCTGGATCCAGCCTGCAAGCCATATGCTCAACACTCCTGCACTAAAGAAAGAAGTGACAGTCCCGTTCCCCACGGCTTCCCATAACCCCACAAAAAAATACAGCAAACGAAGCCAGAAGGAAAAAGTCTGAGAGGATGATCTTCTGTCCTCACTCCCCCCGACATCACTCTCTCTGTTTTTCTCTGCATTTTGCCAAAAGGTCCCAACAGGGAGGCAATGCTGTTGCTTTGTGCTGGAACATTAATACTGCCTCTCAGCTAAAGGGGGTTGCTACAAAATTTCACGGGGCACTGGCTCTTCCCAGAAACAGCACATACTGCTCGCTACCCCCCCGATGGAAAGAACAGAGCTCGACAGTCTCCATCCTTTCCCTATTAGCCCATGTTGTTTATGCTCACAGTCTTCCTTCTATCTTTAGATCACTGTCTCTTTTCATGCTGCAAGCCAACTAAAGGCCTGGGATGTACACATGCTTACAGCTACCATTAACTCATTGCAAACATCACATTCCAGAACATGCTGACATGCCAGAGCATGAGAGGCATTAGCTAACTTCAATCACCTACCCTCTCAACTGAGAAAGTAGCAAGTGATGTGTAACGTGTCATGTCCTCCACGCTAATTCCATTAGGCAGTCAGAGAACAGGATCCAATTGTGTCTCTGGGACCCCGGCACATGTGAATGGCAGGAGGTGTGATCCTACAATTGGGGATCAGATCCCAATTGCATCCTTTCTACTTACCAGCCTGGGATCACTGCATCAGCAAGGTAAAAGTTGAGTGTCCACAGGTCCAGGGCCAGGGCTGACAATCAGCTTCAATTTAATGTGTTATACAAACCAGTCATAAAAACATTCTACATCATATGAAGAACACTTTTATGGCTGGTTTGCCATTTTAAGGCATGTTAAGTTGAGTGCAAATGTAGCACCCTTACCATTTCTGCCATAATTAACATGTTAACACCTGACATACAGTCTTCAGATGTGCTGCTCCCATTCTCTACGTTTCAAGGGAGACAAAAGCACAAATACACATGCATTGATCTGATCTTTGTGGCTTCTCACAGGCAATTGTAAGGTTTTAAAGTTCACAGGTTGAGAAGAACATATTACCTGGCTCAGTACTGATCTGGAGCCATCGCAATTAACTCTCCCTCCGACCACTTTTCTAGGCCAGGAGTGAAGGGATGGGAGGGGAATGCATGCTCTACATGAAAGAATCCAGCATTAGATGGTGAACTTGTCCTTAAGCCTGCTCCACCTCTTATAAAAGGTGCACCCGACACCCCCAGCAGAGCATGTGCCAGGATGTTATTAGACCGAGCGTGAAGCTAACTCATACACCTTTTGCTACCTGAAAAAGCAAGGTAGTGGTTAGACACATGCTAGCATAGTCCCTCAACCTACCGGAGAAAGTCAGTGCATAGTGGGTAAGTCAGATGACTGTTTAAAACACCTGCTAAGTACCCAGATCCTATATTCTCTCTCTATATCATTATAATCCCCCACCACTACCTTGCTTAAAGAACTTCATGTCTTTAGATCGCAACAAGCTTTTCACAGCTCTATATCACTAACCCCCAACCTTAAAGAGGAGGAAACTGTGTTTAGGCTTTGAGAATTTCAGTAAGGACCCTAATATTTTCCACCTTTCTAACTGAACATCTAATTTGGAGGCAGCACAACAAAGACATGGCTTTTTTTTTTAAAAAAGGGTCCCTCCTGAAGAACAGCTGGCAGGTCACTTCCTGGACTTTGCTGCCATTTATCAACAAAATGCGACTGGAAGCCAGGGAGCAGATTACAATCATGTATTGTGTCTAGGGACACCTGCCTTCCCATATGCAAAAACAGAATTCCAATCATATTTAAAGTCTCACATCTATCACTGTTTGATCCAATTAAAGAGGAAAGCCCCTGAGAATTAACTTGATAAGGCTGTTATGCTATATAGACTCAGCACCCTGTCAGCTGACCTTTGGAAGCAGAGGCGCTGGAGAAGCCAAGCCAGATTCTCTCTCGCTCCATCTTCCAGAGGGCAATTTATTTAGAAAACAAAAGCCCAGAGGATTTGAGAAGGAAGGTCAGGCATTCATATGGGGAACATTTTACAAATTACTTCCTCATCCTCCAGGAACTGTTTGCTGTTTACTCTGTTGAAGCAAGAGATTTTTAAGGCAAGGGGGATAGACCGCATGAAAGCACAGGCCAGCTGTTGCGCTAAAATAAAGTTTACAAGAACATGCTCCCTCGCGCGCACACATGGAAAAAGCTGTGCAATGCTGTGCAACACTCGTCTTCAGAGCTGTGCAATGCTGTATTTAAAAATCCTGGAAACAGCTTTGTGAAGACAAGTAGTTACATTTCCAGCAGTTGATCCAGGTTTTGCACATTTTGCTTTTTCTTTTCAAATAAAGTACCTGCATACGCCTATTTACGTATATCCCCTTCACCCTGCAACACGAACATCTACTGCACTAATGACACCTAAAGCCTGTTCCCCTTCAAAGCCTTACCCTTCAAACAAATTACACATTACATTTAAAGGAGATTATCAGTGTTAAGTGGAAAACCCAACAGTTACCAAGACAGCTAGACAAGGCACTCAAATAGCAGAGGTAAATTCATAGCACCCCTGCTTTTTGCAACATTTCTGTCCTATACACTTCCTTACAACAAATGCTGCAGTACGGATGACATCTGAACATCAGTAATCTTGGTGATTTGTTCACAATAGGGAACACAGAGGTCTCCCCATGTTGAGTTGCTGACTCTGAACTACATCTATGCATCCTTTCACAGCATCTGATGAAGTGAGCTTTATCTCACCGAAGAGTGTATTTAGACGCACACTTTGGTTAGCCTATAAAGTGCAAACCTGCCCTGCCTCCTACAGAACAGAGCCCAAGAGCAGAAGCCAAAACCAAAGTCAGGATGGTTGCGTCTAGACAAGTGCAGGCAAGCAGTTTGTTTCCCTGGGGACAAGCAGCCACGGCACATCTCGTGCTGCTGCTACTTGTCCCTGGGGAACACCTGTGCCCCACATGCTCTGCTGTGCAGCAGGTTACCCCAGGTGGGATAGGGGAGGCTGGGGCCAGCAACTGTGCGCCTTACCTGGGGTCCCAGGGGCCTCGGGGAGCTGCAGCCACAGCACTCCTGCAGCCGGGAGCCTGGCTGGCAACCAGAGCACGGCCAGACCCCAGTTTTGGGCAGTGCACGCTGCCACCATGTGTGCCACCCTGCTTTTTTTTGGCATGGTTTTTTTTGACCCCGGGACCTCCTGGGATCAAACCCCCACTGCTCAGTGCAGGGAAAGCCTGCACATGCGATGTGTGGCACCGCAGACAGGTCTGTAGCGCTACATACCGCACATCTGCACTCGTCTGGACGCGGCCTTTGAGGCTGACAACAGCAGTTTGCTCTGCTCGTAGGGAAGCCCCTTTTAGATCCCACTCATTGGTCCCCTTTGAGCCGATTCCATTCAAGGCAAAGGACCAAAAGACAAGGATGTTACAGCGCTGTCCTGGGCTGGAAAGGAAAATACCCTGCATTTTGTGGCTGGCTCTTGAATACGGCTCCTACGGCAAAACACGACTTACAATTAAGGTCAGGCTCCCATTAGAAACGTGGGCTGAAGGGAGCAGCAGACTCCCGTGTCCCTGAACTAACCCGGTCTCCCTCCTCGCCACCCTGCGCTCCCCGCTCCAGCCTGGCCGCGGGAGCTGGACCAGCCGCCCGTGGGCAAGCGCTGAAAAGCAGGTGCCCCTAGAAAGGAGGTTCGAGGGGGCCCCGGGGAGGCCCCGTGCCTCCGATCTGGGGCAGACGCGACGGGGAGGGGGTCTCTGCGGTCTGAGCTCCGGGCGCGTTTACACGGGAGCGTGAAACTGGTGCAGACTCCAGGACAGCGACACCACGGGGTCCTTGCTCCACATTAAGGGGTGTTTACACGACATCCTGAAACTGAGAGGACTCGGGGACCGTGACACACAACGGGGCCCTGCTCCGGATCGAGGGGGCGTTTACACGGGAAGCGTAACACGGAAGAGGACTGCAGGGGAGCGACCCCAAAGGCTCCCTGCTCCGGACGGGGAGGGCGTTTACACGGGGGGGGGCGCACCTACCACGGCCCCCAGGCAGGTGAAGCGAGAGGTCCCTACTCCGGATTAAGGGCCGTTCCCACGGGAGCCCAAAACGGAGCGGGACTCGAGCAAACCGCGGCTCCAGGCTGCGGCGTGTTCACACAGGAGCAGGAAACGAGGAGGACTCAGACGGGGCCCTGCTCCGGAGTGGGGGGGGGGGGGGGGACGGCAAGCGGGGGCGCGGAGCAGGAAACTAGCGCAGACTCCGGCAACCCAACAGTCCTTGCTCCGGATTCAGGGACGTTCACACCACAACACACACACCTCTGCTCCGGACTAAGGGGCCTCCACATGAAGCCGCCGCCTCCCGCCCCCGGGGCCCCGCTCCGGATCCAGGAGCGTTCACACGGGCCGGGCACTTACTCCGTGATGCGCCGCGCCAGCTCGGTGCCGGCGGCCGTGGAGTTGGCGGAGA